CCCTCCCTCCCTTCCTTCCTTCCTTCCTTCCTCCCTTCCTTCCTTCCCTTCTTTCTTTTGATTGAAAGTATTTTTTTTTTTACAATATCTTCTGATCTTGGTTTCCCTCCCACATCTCCTCTCTCGTGGAGTGGACCTTAAATCCATAGTGGATGCTCACACCTACAGTGTTTGTGCAACTATTGCACCAGTGTATTGTGCATCAGCCTGCTTTCTTATACAACTCAGAGCATCTGCTCAGAATGGGCATCACCACAGTGGGCTGGGATTTCCCATAGTAATCATTAATAAAAAAAAATATGCCCCATAGACTTGCCTATAGGCTAATCCTATAGAGCCATCATTTCAATTGAAATCTCCCAGATAGTTCTGGGTTTGCATCAAGCTGCAAAAGCACTAAACCAGGACAAGAAGTTAGATAAAGAGTCACTTGAAAATAGCAGTGAGGAACAGTTGGATGATCCTGATATATAAAAGAAGGAGAGAAGGCTTCTGCTTGAGAAAGCTACAGTGTTTGTGCAAATGGGTCTCTTTTGGCTAAGGAAAAGTTCAAAGAAAGGTAATCTATAAGGGAATTTGCTTCTTACCATTCAGGGCTGTCAGATGCCACAGTAGAATGGCTTTTTGAGAGTCTAGAGAAAGTGTATACTCGTGTTGGAAGTTCTGAGAAGGAATGAGGTAGTTTGGGGTAGAGTCTCTGTCTAGCAGGTACAAGGCCCTGGTTTCTGTTTCCAGTCCTGCAAAAATTAAAAAGCAAACACAAAATAAACTTCAGGTCAAAGTGGGGTGATATTCATAATGGTAATGGGCAACTAAGGAAGCCTTTGCCTTGGAATAGGCCTAAGAATCAAGATGGCGTCAGTGATCTCAGAGGTAAGATGGAGGTATGAGAGTAAGGTGTAGATGGGAGAAGTCTGTCACACCAGAGTATCAGGAATGGGGCAACAGGAAAGTGTGGCTGATGGGTTAGTTCTGCTGACACCTTAATTGCTAACCTGTGATCCTGAGCACTGAAGTGTAATCATGAACTGTTTGGAAGCTTTGACTAACCAGCCTTTCCTGTGCCTGCTACTAACTTGTGTTTGGCTGGGAATACATAGAGATGTTTAGTACATAAGCATATGTACATACACTCACACTCATACAAACATTTCTCTCATCGGCAATGCTTTATAGAATGAATGTGTGAATTTCAATTTCAGACACATCTTATTTGGCTTCTGTTTTGAAGCATAGTTTTGAATAAGGTCTGAGCTTAGATAGTCTAAAAGTGGCAATGGTTGTTCCTAGGTTATTAATCTCTTTCTAATGCATTTGTTCAGTAGTTTTAACAGGAAGTTTAAATCAAAGTTTTCTTCCTTATGTCAGCATGATCTTTTGAATCACTGTAGGTTAAGAAAAGAAAGAAATGAAGAACGTGTGAAGAATTTTGTGCAAGAAGAAGCTGTCAGGTTCCTTTGGAATGAGGTAAACCCTACTGCCGATTCCTCTAGTATCTGTGAACAGAGAACATTTCTAGTCAGTGAGACCAAAGTTTTTTTTTTTTTTAATTTTTTATTGTTTCTTTGATAGTTTCACATCAGGAACCCCAATCCCACTCGTCTCATCCCCTAGTATCTGCCTGTGGTCCTTCCAAAATAAAAAGCACACAAACAACAACAACAAACCAAAAAACAAAACAAAGCATACAAAACATCTTGTGGAAGCTATAGTGTGTCACAGTGTGTTCCACAGTGTGCCCCCTCTGTCCACACATCTTTACTTGCGTCGGGGTCCAGCTTTGACACAGGATCAGAGTTCTCAACTGGAAGCAGGGATATCTGGAAGGCTCATAATAAACATACACAGACTATTTTTTTTGAGTACAAGCTGACAGGCAATTTTTTAAGGCTTAAAGTTTCTCTCTCTTTCTTCTCTCTCACTCTCTGCTTTCTTTCTCTCTCGCTCATTTGCTCACAGCTTGAGGCTGCACACACTCTGCATTCTCCTGAGCACTCTGCTTTTCTCCTGTGTGCTTTTTTCTCTGAACTCCCACACTCCTACACACACATCTCAAACACAACTCTTCACACACATCTCACATACACTTCATGCACACACTACTCACACACACACTCTCCGTGCACACCTCACATTCCCTCTTCACCCACTCTTTGTATGTTCTTCTCATGCTCGCTCGCTCATTCACTAGCCTTTTTCTTGCCCCAGTCTTTTACTGATACTCCAAAGACATTGTATAATCATTGCCAAATCAAATTCAAAAGAGTAACCACATCCCACGAAGAATTAAGAATTACAATTTGTTCCTCAAAGTTTCAAACTTCCCTATTCCCAGGCCTGTAGCCAAAATAATAATAATTGCAAACTTATCATTATTTAAACTTTAACTTTTATAAACCTATTATACTTCAGAGCTCAGAGCTCTGAGGTCAGCTACTTGCATTTTCTTGTGAAGTTCTAATGATAAATGACATGGGCAAAGCTGCCAGGCAGTGGTCATAAAGAGTCAAGTTAACCCTTAACTCAGTAGTTCCGCTAGCTTTCTGCTTCTGTACATTGCACACAGTGACTCTCCTAAGAGTCCCAGTGTTTTGACAAAGTTAGTGTTTAAAATATATAATTGTATGCTTTCTATACTTGCTTATTTAGGAACCACTCTTAAATGTTATGCAAAACTTATTTCATAACTTCAATAGTTTTTTTTTCTTTTCTTGGGATCCTAGTGTTGACTCTATTTCATTTTCTAATAATTTTTAAACTTTCTTGGCAAGTCAAGCATTAATCTGGAACTACCATTGTGCAGTTTCCAAGATGAGAACACTCAACATGCACCTGGGTCATTAGGACTGTGCTGTGCTGTGCCCCATGTCTCAATTTTTAATATTTTAAGAATCATTACATCAAGGAACATCTAGTTTCACAGAATTCACCAGAGCAGAAGGAGAAAGAAGTAAGAAAGCCGGATATAATAGAATAATTATGTACACCAAGGCCAACTGAAAAGCAGTCACACACAAATGAAATCTATACAGCCATGGGCTACTGAAATGTCTCCATCCCTGCCTACTGTGGGCAGTCCCTAATTTCAAATGGCAGGTTCCCTGGAGGGATGTGTCTCTTGCTGCTCAGGGTCCCAGATGCCATCCTCTTTACAAGGAGCTGCCCTGGGCTTCTGAGATGTCTCCATCCTGGCCTTCTGCTGACAGTCCCTGTCATTTTATGCTGTCCCCAACACATTTGCAAATGTTTATTGCAGTGCATTATTAGTCTGGTTTGAGTTCTCTGGCTTCTGGGACACCATCAATATTGTTTCCTCACCGGGACACCTCTTGGATTATCTGTTTGTCACCCTGTGTCATGGGGATCCAGCAGGTTGGGGTTAATAGGTGGCCCTTTCATGCACCCCAACAGTTCTCAGATGATGAAGATTTTGGACTGGGCCAACTCGAAGCTCTGGATCTGGGCCTGTGTGGTAGCTGAGCTGGTCAGCATCCTGGCTCTCCTTTAGCCAAAGCACCAGGGTTATTCTCCAGCATTGCTTTATCTAGGCCACCCAATGGCTCGACTTGGTTAGCTTTCATGTTCTCATGCTCTCTGGCTGGCTCACTGGTACTCATGCCTCCAGAGCCAGCTCCACTGTGCTGCCTAGTCAAGGCACAGGGCATACTCTCCCAAGTGCTGCAGCCAGTGAGGGTCTGGGTCAGCTCTTCTGCACTCTTTCCCTGGGTGTGGGTGGGTCTCCTGTGTTTCCTCCACCAGGCCTAGCACTACTGTCCTGACCAGGCAAGGGACAGGGCCTGTTCTGCTTTCCTGAGCGCTTCAACCATACTCCAGCCAGTGAGGGATAGGGTCAGGTCACCCTCTGTCATGACCCAGCAGGTGGAGGAGTGGGGGGTGAGGAAGCTGGAGGGCATCATACCTACAGCACCTCAAGACAGGGGTGAGGCAAGCTCTCACTTGTCTTTGTCCTCGGGGCTGGATCACCTGCCAGAGTCCTTGTCCAGGAGTTTAGTAACCTGGATGGAAATGTAGAATCAGCAAAAAGAAAGACTCTGACCACTGGTTGACGTTCAAGTAATTGGCCCTGAAGAGTGCCACCTGTCTTTATTTATACAGACTTTTAGAGCACTCAAACATGCACTTTCAGCTGGGCAGTGGTGGCTTACGCCTTTAATCCTAGCACTTGGGAGGCAAAGGCAGGCGGATTTTTGAGTTTGAGGCCAGCCTGGTCTACAGAGTGAGTTCCAGGATAGCCAGGGCTACACAGAGAAACCCTGTCTCGGAAAAAAACAAAAAACAAAAAACGAAAACCCCATGCGCTTTCAGACTTTTCTTTAATTTTTCTTTAATTATCCAAGAATCTCAACAAGTGTTTATTTATTAAAATTCATTTTAAGTTTCCCTTATTTCCTTGTGGTCAGTGATTAGCCTTTTTCCATATCTAAGGAGTATAGTATTATAATCCAAATGATGATGTCATAGCTAAGCACCTGAATATTGTAAGCCAAATGATTTAAATATCGCATTGCAAGGCAAATGATTATATCTAGCCAGGCATATCCAGTGTGAATTGTGCACAGGCTGGCAGCAGAGATGCAGTTTCTTTTTTCTTTTTTTCTTTTGTTTTTTTGAGACAGGGTTTCTCTGTGGAGTTCTGGCTGTCCTGGAACTCACTCTGTAGACCAGGCTGGCCTCAAACTCAGAAATCCACCTGCCTCTGCCTCCCAAGTGCTGGGATTAAAGGCGTGCGCCACCACCGCCCGGCAGACATGCAGTTTCAAAGTAAAAGACAATTAGAATCCAAACAAACTTTTTTTTTTTTTAAAGAGGGTGAGGGAAGAATTTAATTAGAACTAAAAATATTATTAAATGAAGCTGCTGGATTCAAAAATCAACATACAAAATTTGTGTTTCTATGTTCTAACAAATCATCTATCTGAAAAGGAAACCAAAAAAAAATGCCATTATAATGTCACCAAAAGGGATAAAATAATTAGAATAAATTTAACCAAAAGGTAAAATGCTTATATACTGAAAACTACAAAATAGAAATGACAAAAGATACAGAAACCTTCCTACCACACAGGCCTTACACAGCCAATCAGAGAAGTTCAGTCCACAATCATCAAGGCAGGAGCATGGCAGCATCCAAGCAGGCATGGTGCAGGAATTGCTGAAAGTTCTATATCTTCATCTGAAGGCTGCTAGCAGAAAATCACATTCAAGCAGCTAGGATGAGGGTCTTAAAGCCCACACCCCCAGGGGACACATCTACTCCAACAAAGCCACACCTATTTCAACAGGGCCACATCTTCTAATAGTGCCACTCCCTGGGACGAGCATATACAAGCTATCACAGTGTCCATCTGTAATCCAGTTCTAAGAGGCAGAGCTAGAGGATCCCCAAGCAAGCTGACCAGCAGACTGGTGAGCTGGTGATACAACTAAGAGACCCTGCTTCAGTTAATATGGAGGACAATAAAGGAAAGCATCCAACATTAACTTTTGACCTCAACAAGTATGTCCATGAGCAAGAGAAAGAGAGAGAGAGAGAGAGAGAGAGAGAGAGAGAGAGAGAGAGAGGCCTAAATATGTATTACTGATGATGAAGCCAATCATGTCATCAATCTTTCATATCTATCTAATGTATGGCTGCAATTCCATGGCATTCTAGAAAAGACAAAACTATGCAGACACTAAGAAAGGTCAGGGTATGTAAGGCCAGGCAGGGAAGAGGAAAAAACAGGCTGCATGCAGAGGACTTGTGTGTCTACTTGGAGAGTGCTCCAAACAAACTTTTGTATTTTTATCACCTTCTGATTCAACATGCTTGCAATGTATTTTAAGTTGTCTTTATGCCATAATCTGTCTAGTTTTACAGTATGGTCCTACTGTATACAACTTTTCTATGAAGAGTAGAAACTAACAATTAATACCTTCCCATCAACTTGTACTGTTCCCCTTGCCTAAGGCAAAGATGAATCTATCCAAGTTATATTTCTTTTAAGAGGTAGCACATTTTACTTACTAACTTATCCTATGGATGGACTAATTTGTCCTGAGAATGAACTGTTGACCTTTAGGTTCTATCTTCTTTCTCTCTTTTTAAAAATTGGATATTTTATTTACTACATTTTAGATGTTATTCCCTTTCCCCATTCCCTGTCCCCTCCCCCACTCCCAAGGCCCCTATCCCATCCCCCCCTCCTTTTTGCTTTTATACCATTTTAACTACATGTGAGTATTAAGATCAGTTTTAGGTTGAGGAACTAGCAATACAATAGATGCAAATAGTCAAGGAGCAAGCAAGACAATAAACACAAATAGTCAAAGAACAAGCAAGGCAATAAGCAAAATTCCGTGAACACTCCCATGATCACTGTTTCTAAGGGCTTATCAGGATGACCAAAATATCTGAGCCAACTTTCTTGTCCTAGCCCAAAGTCATTTTCATGCCTGAAGCCTACTTCTTTGTTCTAGCCTAAGATTTTGAGTCCTGCCTGAAATTACTTTTTTGTTCTAGCCTGTCAGAATTCTGCCTGAAGCCTACTTCCTTGTCCTTGGCCAATGTCATATTCCTTCCAAGCAGCCCATTTCCTTGTCCTTGGCCCATGTCATATTCCTGCCAAGCAGCCCCCAAATCTCCCCCTTTTTTATTTCATAAACAAGACTGAGCCTGTCTTAGGTCATTCTGACAAGAATGCCTTCCTTACTCATCATGGAATATACATTATCCAAAGCAATGCACTCATGTCTTAGGTTGGTAAGGCTCTGTGAGGATCTTACCCACCCTTGGCTTGCCAGCCTGTTAATTTAATAACTCTGTCTGGGGGTCCATTTTCAGGTTCAATCCATGTACTTTGGCTGCCAAATGTTGATGTTGTTAAAGACAAGCTTTAACACAAGGGGCAGGAGTAAAAGTATTCCCAGGACAAAAAGGGAACAATCAATCTGTATATGCCATTTTTGATGCTTGACCAAAATGGAAATACTGACCTCAGGCCATGGATAATTTTATTGGCATTATCTGCAGCATCAAAGCTCAGCAGAGCAGCATTCTTTAAATTCATAAACTCACTATGCAAAGTTAAAACATCCAGATAGGTGTTAGAATTATGCCAAATACCCTGCAAATGTCTTTAAACTTTTTCCTAGTTATAATGACTATCATTGTAAATTTTAGAAGTAACACAACTCCATTGGTATTTGGCATGACACTCAAGATGGCTCCTTACTCTTAAGCTCTGAACCTCTTTCCAATAAATAGGATAAAGAGCATCAATCCTATATTCCAATGCCTATCTAAATCCTCTTGTATACTCAACACACTAGTAACATTTTTTTTTCTAAATGATTAAGAAAAGTAGCTGTCTTCTTGTGTCAAAGCAATTGCAGAAGTGCTAGCAATTAATGTAATTAAAGCTGTTATACCAGCAATAATCAAGCCCACTACCCTTTTGCTTCTGCGTAAAGCCTAGCTCACTTCTTCCAGTACTTGCAAGCTTTTTCTTTCTTCTTCAGAAAACCAAGGTTCTATAATACTCAGGGCAATAAGACAAAAGCTGGCTGATAGATCCCCGTAACAGACATGCCATGTTTCAACACACTAACACAATTAGAAAGTGTACAATCAATGCAATTTATAATAAATACTGTAGAAGAAATAAAAGTCATTTTAACTTGACAATTAAAAGAGCCTTAAAACATGCACTAACACTTGTTTGAAATCCAGATCCTGTCCCAACTTTATCTCTTGCTAACATAACATCATAGAAAACTGCAGCTAACTTCCAAATATGTCTCTGAAAATGTCCAGAACCAGACTTCCAAATGAAGACTGATATTTCTAATATTGGATTGATTTCTAGACCAGTACATGATTGAGTCTGAATAACTGGTCCCATTTAAGAAAAATACAAGAGCCCTTATAACTTCTCTTTTTGATTCTCTGTCCCACAAGGTCTAAAAACTTGAGGCAAGGCAGCTTGTCCCATCTTGGGTATAGGCAAGCAAAGGTGGGTCAGGAACATATGTCCAATACAGCTTCCCACTAACGTTGTCAGGACACTCAGCAAGCTCACAGGTCAGCATCATTCTTTGTCAGCCTGTCTCACCAATCACTCTGGCAGCCACCATGATCCTGGGCATGTTAGTGCTCCTGGGAGTCAAGCCTCTTGAGTTTTGGGGGATTGGGCGCAGAGCTGATGCTCAAGGCCTGCTCAGGGCACTGGCACAGACTGGAAGGAACCCGTGCCACTGTCGGGGAGTCTCTATGTTCTTTTAATAGGTTTAAACTTTCCCTCTCTTCCGTATATTGGTAGGCTTAAGTCCTCAGAAGTAATTGATATTTCCAAAGCCTTTCCTATTTCCTCATACATCAGTTTTTGAGACCATCCAATAAGGCATCCTTTATAAAGGCCTTGATCAATCATGTCTTTACTTAACTTTTTATGTAAGCAGGAATCATAGCCCCCCTCTCCAGAGGATTGACACAGTTGTTCTGGATATCATTCCCACTGGTCCTTGCCAAGTGGGAGAGAAGTTCCAAGGGCCTTGCCTCCAGGAGGGCATCTCCAGGACGTTCATGCACCTTTCACAGGAAAGACAACCTGGCTCCCACTACTCACCCATGCCCTCTCCACCAGGACCAGCAAGTGTGCTGCCCCGTTGAGGTGCAGGGCCTGCTCTCCTGAGTGCTGCAGCCTGCGAGGGGCAGAGACTGAAGTCATTTTAAGCCTTTGGTTTTATTAGTACAGAATTTAGCATCAACTTGGTTTTAAAACAGTAGTTCTCAACCTGTGGGATTAAATAATCTCCCCTTGAGGATTAAATAACCTATTCACAGAGGTTGTATATAAGCTATCCTGCATATCAGAATTTACATTATGATTTATAACAGTAGCAAAATTACTGTTATGAATTAACAAAGAAAATAATTTTATGGTTGTCACCACAACCATATTAAAAATTAAAGGGAGAGTAGTCAAAGTGAAACTAAAACATCTCTGTTTGGCTTTCTCCTCTCCCCAGCTGTCTAGTTCATTTTATTTTATTTTATCTTATTCTATTTTTGAACTAAGTTCTCATGTGGTCCAGGCTAGTCATAAACTCACTCTAGCTAAAGATGACCTTGAACTCCTGATCTTCCTGCCTGCATCCCACAAGTGGTGGGGTTACAGGTGTGCCCCATTACAACTGATTTATGTAGTGCTGGGGTTCCTCATGCACGCTAGGCAAGCGCTATACCAGCTGAGCTATACCCCTAGTATTACTTTCTTGCTTGCAATTAAAAAAAAAAATTCTGTGTATGGCTGTTTTGCCTGCGTGTATGTATGTGACGTATGTGTGTACAGTGCCCTTGGGGTCAGGAGTGTGGAAGCCTGCACCTGGAGGTACAGACAGTTGTGACCTGCTTCGTGGATGTCGGGCACTGAGCCCTTTCCTACCCTTGCTTGCTTTTTTGTTGTTACTGTGTTTGTTTGCTTGTTTTGTTTGTTTTGTGAGACAGGGTTTCTCTGTGTAGCCCTGGCTGTCTGGAACTCACTCCATAGACCAGGCTGATCTCAAACCCACAAAGACCTGCCTTGCTTCTGCCTCCCAAGTGCTGGCATTGAAGGCATGTGCCACCACCACTCAGCTTGCAATTTTTATAGTAAAAATTTGAAATGACTTTTATAACTTTAAGATATAAAGGGTCATATTGTTAAGAACTTGGGACATTTTTAGTCATTTTAGAAAGTTATAAATAATGCAGTTTAAAATAATTGGAAATCCTATGTCTGCATCTATTTCTAAAATAGACTGATTTTAGAAGATCCACTTAGACTCACAGGTGCTAATCGACCCTTATCGACTAGATGTTGGTCTATATTTTGCACATTATCGACCCTTTAGTTAGTGAGACAGATGCTGCCGTACTTCTCCAGTGAAGCAGGAGAACTGCTACGGCCTTCCTCTCGTGCTGGGGATTGCCCTTTGCTACCAAGGACACAAAACACTGTGCCTGCCCAATTAGGCTGGGGGTCAGCCTTGTGAAGAGGTTAGTGGAGAAATGAATGCAGGCAATTGCATGAATTCTGGGGGGAAAAAGCTCCAGACATTTTAAAAAGACAGGATACTTACTTTATACTAAAACTGTATCTCCTGGTTTACAGGTAAGATCTCTACAAGCTTGGCAACAGACAGTGGAGCAGCGTCTAGTTTCCTGGCATACTGATGTGCCTCCTATATCAAGTACTCTGGTGTCACCTAAGCCTCCGTTATCTCCACAACATCAGGACCCCTCTTCCGATCGGAATTCGGATTGGTTCATTGCTGAGGATGAAGCTCCCCAAGGGAAGTCAGTGCCGGACTTTCCCGACTCTGGTTTTCACTCCTCCCTGGCAGAACAAGTTCACTGTTTGCAGGATTCTTTGGATTTTGAAAAAAGTTTGGTAGAAAGCAGCGAAAACTCCGTGTTGGGGAATTCTGCTGACACAGTTAAATGTGTTAAAGACCCAGACTCAGAGGCCACAGCTGAGGAGCACAGTGACTGCAGTAAGGAAGGCTCAGTCAGTGAGCAGGACAACACCCTGCTCCAACAGTATTTAACTTCGGTCCAGCAGCTGGATGACGCTGCGGAGATGGCAGATTCTGCCGATGTGGCAGGAGACAATAAGTGTCACCTAGCTTGTTCTCCGGAAAGGTTAGATGCCTCCTCTGACAGTGAGACTCAGAGAGTATCTCCTACTTTTCAGGAGGAAATTAGTCAGATGTCAGAGAATTGTAAGTTAAACGAAGAAGCCCAAGGGCAGCCTCCGGAATGTGACGCTTCATTTCAGGTGCTGCATGTGGGTGTCACTGTGTAACCTGTCTGATTAACTGGGAAGCAGAAATTCACTTCGATTTTCTTAATGTTCTCAGTTTCTTTTGCAGGGGAGCAACCCTTTCCCCCGTTTTGTTATTCTTTATATACAACCTGTACTCTTGTCCCACACTTTTGAGATACTAGCTACTGAACTACATCTTCATCTTCATTGTACTACTGTACTAAACAATATTGATATTAAAAGGCATATGCACTTTATTTCTTAATAATTACACCAATAATGTTTCCTTTACATCCGTACTGCCTTTCAGAAACAGTTTCTTGAAGTAGCTTGGTTATTTTAATAGGAGAACTTGGTTCTTAACTACATGACGAGGGGTATATCATGTGAGGGGTGATGAGGATGAGGGTTATGGACAACTGAGATTTCCCAGGCAGTCTCCTTGGGCTAAAACCTTGGTTTTTCACACTGAGTTAAGGAAAGCCTTCTGATATAGGAACACTTAGGGAGAATAAGGTTTAGTGTGTGTGTGTGTGTGTGTGTGTGTGTGTGTGTATATGTGTGTGTGTGCTGACAGTTAAACCCTTAGCCTTGAGAATGCTAAGCATGGGCTCTGCCACTGAACTGTTCACCTAACTCCTAGATTATAAGTTTTAAGTGGGGTGATTAAATTGCCTCATGACAAACTTTAGCTAATTTGTGGATCAGTTCTGAAGTGAAGTGTTCCATACAGGATTAAAATCAAGCTTACTTGGGCAAGGATATTTCTCTTTGATATGGAGGAAGGAGACATGAGAGGTATTCACTTGGAATCATGCTGTTCAAATCTCTCTTTTTATTACATACTTTTTTTAGGCTGTTGACATTTATGTGCCAATATTTGGGAAGAAATAGATTGTAAGAAATCAATATGTATTCATCATTATGTTCTTGCTTTTATATACTTCACCAGAAGAGCCAAAGGTACATTTTGTGTGTGTGTTTGTATGTGTGTGTGTGTGACTGTGGACCAGATCTATGGCCCTGTGCATGCTAGGTAAGTTCTGTACCACGGAGCTGTGTCTCAGTCCTTATTTCACTCATGACCTTTGTCCCATAGTGAAGAACATTTAAAATCCTGATAGACTGGAAATGATTTTTTTTCTAAAGGATTTTTTTTTTATCTAATCTCTGAAAAGTACCCCATTTGGAGGACAATTTACTGGTGACTAAGAAAAAATAAATTAAGCTGGGCCTAGTGGCGCATGCCTTTAATCCCAGTACTTGGGAAGCAGAGGCAGGTAGCTCCCGATGAGTTCAGTGACAACCTGGTTTACTAGTGAGTTCTAGGTCAGCCAGGGCTACATGTGAGATCCTGTCTCAAAAAAAAAAAAAAAAACACAAAAAAACCCCAACAAAACAGTAAAAGCAGCAGTAGTAACAACAATAATAGAAAAGAAAAAAAGAAAAGAAAATAATAAAAATTATCTTCAGGAATAATAATATTGTGCTTGAATGTGAAGATCTGTCAATCAAAGGTGACATTTAGGAACTTGGCATTATATCTATTAGAATTTAGAATGTTCTGCTATCATTAAATAGCACAGCCCAGATCTGATTGTTCCAACTGTGGACAAGCAACTGTTTCAAATTCTGGCAATATTCTGATCTCTAAACTTAGGCGCTAATATCACCCATTTATTCTGTTAAAGCCATTAGCGCCCCTTTAATTGAAAGTATATAAAACAAAAGTTTTGGTCCTTCCAAAATAGAATTGAGGACCACATGGTACTTGCTGAGAGGATCATTTCTACGTTATGGCGAGCTGTGCTTGCTTGCTTAGTTCGTAAATATGTAGCACTCAGGTTGAGGAGGCTTCCATTTCATTCTCAGAAATCCAGAATCCTTTGAAAAGGACATGTTTTCTATGTTTTATAAACATGACAACAGTCTTGACTTCAAACTATTTTCTCTAGTATAGACATGTAATATTGAATGCTTGATGGATAAAAACTGAAAATTTAACTCTGAATAATAATTACCTTTTATAATTTTGCATTTCTTTTTAAAATATTTGTGTGTGTGTATGTGAGGGAGTATCTGTGTGTGTGTGTGTATGTGTGTGTGATAGTGTCTGTGTGAGTATGTGAGAATATATGTGTGTATGTGTGAGAGTTGTGTGTATGTGTGCAGTGTATATGTATAAGAGAGTGTGTATGTGTGAGAGATTGTATGTGTACACGTGAGAGCTTGTGTGTGTGTATGTTTATATGTGAAAGTGTGTGTTGGTATGTGTGAGAATTTGTGTGTGTATGTGTGCAAGGGAGAGTGTTCATGCATGCGAATGTGCCCCCTGGAGGAAGCCAGAAGTGGGCGTCTGCTCCCTCGAACCTGGAGTTAGAGGTGTTTGTGAGCCGTCCTTCAAGCCCACCTTTCATTTGTTTTTCAATAGGTGATAAGGAATTTTCTTATTTTTCTATTTTTATAGTTAAATGCCTCATTTGCTGCCCACAGTTAGAGAAAAGCATCCCACTGCGGTGGCACCAAAACCGTGTCACGGCACATTAACTTCAGAAAAGTGGCTGCCTCGCCATGGTTGAGCTTCCCTGAGTGCCGTTCTGGTAGCCGCTTCTTCCTTTACTTAAGTAATCGCAGATACAACCATTTCATATGATAGGCACCGTCAGCAGAACTTACTGTTCTTTTGTCTGTTTTTCTAGTCTGAAAATGGCATTCAACGCATCTTTGTGAAAAAACTTGGCAGATATGATAATTGTTCGTATTCTGCTTTACCTCTCTTTGATTTTTGCTAGGCTTTAGAAGTATGGGAATGGGAAGTAGCCTGCTTTGAGCTGCAGAGAATCTTGAATGTAGGTAAAAATGCAATACGCTAGAACGTAGGAAAACTAAGGCAGAGACTTAACGTATATTTATTGGTTTATATAATTTAAAGGTAACTTATGTAACTCAGGAATAGTAATTTATGTGACTCTGGATTATTTGTCTGGCTGGAAAGAGAACAGACCAGGGAGTCTGGAGAGTTGAACTTTGATCTTGGCTTTTTTTGATTGGAGAGATTTTGTTCAGTTGTGTTGTTTTGACTCAGATAAATTCTCTTTTTTATGGAGTATTTGATTATCAGTTGGAATTACTGCAGAAGCATAAACTCATACCATATAGACAGGCAGTGGTGGCGCATGCCTTTAATCTCAGTGTGTGGGAAGCAGATGCAAGAGAATCTCTGAGTTTGAGACCAGCCTGGTCTACACAGAGAATCCCTGTCTCAAAAAACCAAACAACCAAACCAAACCAACCAAAACCCTCCAAGCCCCCTTACCCCCAAAACATCATACCCTGTGAGAATCAGAAAGAATCTTGAGATTATCTATTGCCATTACTATTGTCGTTTTTATTATCACTGTTATTATTACACAATGCAGGAGAGGTGCTGGCCTTATGGCGGGGACTGACTCCATTTTGAAGAAGAAACAGAAACCTAGGGATGATAACCAGCTTGTCTTGAGGTTGTAGTAGTCAGCAGTAAACTGAAAACAGGTTTGTGTGTTTCAAGCTTTCCATACACCTTCTCTGTTAATCTTTACAGTAGTGAGTAAGTTGCTGCATTTTAAAGAGGAAAAACAGCTTTTAAGAGGGGTCCTTTGGCCAGGCAATGGTGGCGCACGCCTTTAACCCCAGCACTTGGGAGGCAGAGGCAGGCAGATTTCTGAGTTAGAGGCGAGCCTGGTCTACAGAGTGGGTTCCAGGACAGCCAGGGCTATACAGAGAAACCCTGTCTTGAAAACAAACAAACAAACAAACAAACAAACCAAAAAAACAAAAACAAAAGAAAAAAGAAAAATAGGGGTCCATTAATGGCAGAGTTGTAGCAAACAGCTAAATTTTTCGGAACCTTGAATGAGTGTTCTCAAAAAAAAAAAAAATGGGACTAAAGTTTGTTTAAAGTTTCTTAAAAGTTTGTTGGTATAGAGCAATAATAGCAGCAGGGAATGGCAGTGCACACATGTATTTTTGTTTTTGTTTGTTTGTTTTTTGAGACATGGTTCTGTAGACCAGGCTAGCCTCCACCTCGGATATTTGCCTGCCTCTGCCTCCCAAGTGCTGGAACTAAAGGCATGCAGCACCATAGCCCAGCAGTAATACACACTTGTATCACTTGTAGTCACAGTACTTGGGATGTCAAGGTAGGAGGATCTAGGAGTTCAAGGCCACCTTCAGCTACATAGTGAGATTCAGGCTAGCCTATGCTACCTGGGAATCTGAATCCAAAAACAGCAATAGTAAAGTTAAAACTTTAGGAAAGAATCACTGTATCTTAATCATTTATTTGATGACAACTAGTCTTATAAGATTGCCAAAGTAGATAAAACTTTCTCAAGAAATACTGAATTTGATGTTTCATGTTGCCTTTTATAGAGGAGCAGATGGTAAGAATTTTACTCTCCCAGTGTGAAAAAGATCTAATCATGACAGCTGACTGTATTCAAGTAGTTTGCTCTTATATGTCTAACTACATAGGACACTATAGCATGCATGTTTTTGAAAATGTTTGGCTACATAGTTGTTTATTTGTAAATAACTTTGTTCTTTAATTATATGGTGCTGTTCCTGAGTGTATGTTTCCCCTAGATTTATTTGAGGTTAATTTTAAATACATAAGCATCATAATAGCACACTCTTCTGAATAGCATACTCTTCTGTTACCTAAGTAGGGCAAGTCTTCTACTTTTCATAAATGCTTTCAGGAAGATACAGCTTTAAATATTATATTATCTCTCCTTGTAATTTTTACATAAAATATTAAGGTTGGATTTATAACAATAATATATATTTTTCCTGAAATAGGAAGGGGAAATACAGTCATTGGATTAGTTCTCATTCATAAAGAAAAAAAGAGTCTCAGTTACATGGTTGTTTAATGTATATTCTTATTTTGCTACATCTGTGTTAAAAGAAGTTTATTGCAGTTATGTTTTAAACTTTAAATTCATAGTACTTTTATTTTTTTGAAACAAGGTCTCTCTAAAAAGCCCTGGTTGTCCTGGAACTCGATATGTAGACCAGGATGGCCTAGAACTCACAGAGATACTGTTCGCTTCTTCATCCTGAGTGCTGAGATTAAAGGCATGCACCACTGTGCCCAGCCATGGTACCCTTATTCTTGAAGTGAAGCAGAAGTAGTTTGTAAGGAACATTTTAAATTTTTTCTTTTTTTGAGATGAGGATCTTATTATGTTGTCTAACTCCTGGCTTCAAATGATGCTCCTGCCTCAGCCTTCCAGAGTAGTTGAGCCTATTGGCATAGAAACATTTAAATTGTAAATTTTAATATTAAAGCCTATTGTGCCATATTACAGTTAAAAATCAAGTAAACAAGGTGATTCTCAGAGCCCTGGAGAGAGATCGATCATCATCTTTTTAGGGTGAGGTACTTCTTATTGTTAATGGGTAGAAATCACACTGAATTTTAATTCTTTTATTACTTCTAGTGGATAGAATTACTCCTTAGAGTGGCCTTGTTAATATATTTCTTTGGATGTTTTGTAATAATTTGTGTGTGTGTATGTGTGTGTGTGTGGTGCTGGCATTCTAGACAAGCACTGTACCACTTAACTGCATTGCAGCCCTGTGTTCCAGAATATCACTGATGTTGGCAATAAGAGTTTAAAAATAATTTGGTTTTGCACTATTTCTTGATTTTTTTTTGTAAATGTTAGTATAAACAGAGTAAGACTTAGGTGGCCGAAGTCTGTTTTATGAAGGCTTACTGTTTTATATTGTACTCTTCGTTTGTTTTTGAGTCTGTCTAATTTTAAATAAAAGCTTTACACATTTAGGTGTGATCTCTGGTTATTTCAGTGATCAGTAGCCACGGTTATTACTCATTGTGCTCACGGTTAATCGGTAGGTAAAGTTCAGAACAATTTTACTTCAGAAAATTCATATACAAAAAGCATGAGACTCTGTTCCAAAGCATTGTCCTTTCTCCACAAAGGAAGCATGGGGATTTTACCCAAGGGACTCTACGTATTCATCTGAAGGTGAGTTCATTTAGAAGCACACTCAGTTAAGAAGTAGATTCATGCCTGGTGGTGGTGGTGGTACACGCCTTTAATCCCAGCACTGGGGAGGCAGAGGCAGGAGGATCTCTGAGTTCAAGGCCAGCCTGGCCTACAGAGTGAGTTCCAGGGCAGCCAGGGCTACACAGAGACCCTGTATCCAAATCAAACCAAACCCAACCCAACCCAACCCAACCCAACCCAAACCAAACCGAAGAACATTCCTGAACACTATCAGTTTAAAGTCATAATGATGGACATATTATTTTAGGTGTGCTTAGCTCTAGGTCATGTTACAATGATGGACAGAAATGCCTCTGGACAAGATCAGCCTGTGCTATAA